CTGTTCCGACGCCGGGAGCTGAGCTGAACGTGTGGTTCGAGCCAGGCGTCCAGGGGCGGACTCCTGAGCTCTCCAGCCTGGCTCCAGGTCCGACTCTCCCGGCTGCATTCCCCGGATTCTCCCCGCGGCGGACGGCTTCGACACCCCCAACAAGCCATCCCCAGTTTGCCCCGAGGGCTTGCCAACCCAGCGCCGCCCTGTTGCGCCTATCGGCTGGGGCCACCGCGGCTGAGCCGGCTCCCACATTTGCTTCCCCTCCGGCGGTGCAGAAGCCGCTGCCCCGCAATCCGAGGCGGGTAACGGGGCGCGCCTAAATCCGGGGCACCGAAGCCTTGAGGACACACCCCCGCGGTTGGCACCCGACCGCGGCTCTCCTCACCCGCTGACCCAGATCCTCTAGTTTCCACCGCTTAGGGGGTGCGGGCTGATCCAGAGGTGGCCACCTGCCCAACCCCCGCCCGGACCCCTGACTGGCACCGCTTCTGCCGCCCCACCGCGCCTGGTCGCCTTCTGGCAGCCCCCCCCCCTCGCCCCCATGGATCGCGAACGGCTCCTTTTCGCCCTACCGGAACTGACAAGGTCCCAAGTTGCGAATTGCACAACTGGAGCCGCGCCCAGACCCATTTTCAACGAGGGGCGGATTTCGCAAGGCTACCATTAGCTCGTTATACAAGCGGGCCAGTTTAGTCGCTACAGGCTGCGATCGAAGGCATTTACTAGGAAGCTGTTGCGCTCAATAACAGACCTTCCCGCCTAGTAAAAATCCATAGGACCTTGTTAATTACTCAGGCCCTTGGTAAGGTTTCACCGGAGGCGTAGGAACTAAGAATTGAAAATCCTAGTTCTTAAATTAACTCTTTGAGTCCAGAAACCTTACAGCTAGAAACTCTCTCTTCTCTCCACCTAACATCCTATCTTCTTTCTTCTCTTCATCTAACATCCTTTCTTTTGGGCAAGTCGCTATCCAGCCCTAATACCAGACCTCCATTTAAAAAAGGAATCTTGGTGTCCCGGGAGAAATCTCTGAAATGTCTGGAGGAAATGTCCTTATGGATGTCCACAATGGGGGAACCACACCTTTTTTAATGTTTCACATGTATCACAATTGTGGCCACCATTTTAACATTATTGATCTCCTTGGGGATGAACCTCCTATTATAGTTATATTCTCCCCAAAGGCTTACCATTAACTTAACCATGGTTCCAAACTAATCCAATGTCTTGGTCTACCCAACCTCCTAAATCAAATCACAGGAGTTACATTCACACAGTAGGTAGTTACCCTAGGTTACCGTTGAATCCATGATGTTAACAGAGCTATTGACGATCACTTGATTTTATGACTGACCTTAATTTTTGCCCTAGGTGTTTTTAAGATGTCCCCATCCCAAACCTTACAAAGTACAAATGAAGGGGGGTTTGTAGCAAATATAAACCTTGGGCCACTCCAAATCCTTTCTCCTCTCCCAGCCCAGTCCCTCCTCCTCTAGCATCTGTTTCCATATAAAGTTTTGTCTGTCTGTGTACAACCCATTGAACCATAAACTGTTCCGTTTAGCCTGAACAAATAGTTGCACAAATGTTGTACGCAGTTCGTTCATCCATTGTATCATACAAACCCAGAAAATTGAGATAGTGGAATAAAGCATCTTAGGTGACTTATGGGTAAATGTGTGCAAACCCAACTTTTGCGAAGACATTTGTTTTTGAAATAGAATAGGCCATCTTGCCACCCTATGGAGCTGTTCTTGAAATACTTAGCCCAGTGTTGTCCA